CCTTCATCAGAAAAAGCTTTTTCTGATGAAGGGTCTAGGCCCGAAACGTCAGCCTCTCTGCTCCTATGATGCTGCTTGGCCTGCTGTGTTCATCCAGCCCTGCACCTTGTTGTCTCGGATTCTCCAGCATCTGCAGTTCCTTCTATCTCTGATAATATTGAATAAAATTACTTGAAGATGCACAGTAGGCTATCACTTGCACAATTAGCAATATGTGTGATTATTGCTGAATAAAGAGACAAGTTATTGAAATTTTTCATCTTGCAAACAACAAGATACCAAATTTCGAAGGGAATAGCAATTTATCCTGCATGAGAAAAGAGAAAACCCAATATAAGATTATCAATCAGGCCTGCACTGTAACTCATTTATGGCCTTGAGAATCTACATAATTTCATATGTGGGAACCTCTGCTGCAAACAGGAACTTGACAAGGAATTGCTCCTATTTTGGAGAAACAGTAGCTTATTAGTGTATTCTCCATGGCAACATTTTGACCAATCACAGTTGACGTGACAACAGTTGCGATCATTTATATATTGTTTGTATTGATCTTCCGGCAAAGATACTGTGGAAAATTCAGAGAATTACAGCCAAGGTCCTCCTCGGTGTCCTAGATTATTTTAGACGAGATGGAGAGATTATTTCAAATAGTAATGTAAAAAAATTGTGAAGAATCTAAAGCAGTATCGAGCGATTTTCTTCACATCACCCATGGTAGCATTACAGACTCCTACAAACCCACTGCAAATCACCAGTAATATACAGCATTAATGTTCATCTGTTTCTCCAAGTCACTTCTAAACTTTAAAATTGTGAAGAGCCAGATAATAATCTGTAACTATCCAATCAACAGTATTTGATTCTACTTTCAAAGTATCATCAGCAATACTAATCTTTCCCATGTTTTATCTGAATGTGATGTTTTTCTTCTTATATAGCAGCCAAAGACAATAGCAGTTTGGGAGATGGACAAGTTAGCCAATGTCTGAAATTAATGCCTTGCAGTTGCTTCAAATGACAGGCACAAAATCAAGATGTGCAACATCTGAAAGGACAAAGGTTTGCAGAGAAATAATCTCGGACATCAAACATTCTGTAGCTACTGTTGGAGGCAACGTTCATTGGAATTCATTTTATTATCTAACTCATACTGGAGCAGTCATGTTAGAACTAAATCAAGTGTATGCACATTGAGGGGCTTGGAACCTGAAACTAGGACCACCCTGCCCAAGTCTCAACTTTACAGCTGCTCTTTCTACCTCCAACCTCACAATTGTTTGTCCTCTGTCCCCACTGGGGGGAGGGGAGGGTCATGACCCACCGTATGGGATTCCCGGTGGTAGAAGTTGTGGAGTTGAGAACATGCTATCAAAGGAACCTTGTTGAGTTGTTGTGTATCTTATGTAAGGTACACACACTGCTGCTACTGTGCACCAATGGGAAAGGGGATGAATGCTTAAGTTGACCATTAAACATAAGAACAGAAGAAAGCCATTCAGCCCATCGAGCCTGTTCCACCATTCACTAAGATCATGGCTGATCCGATAATCCTCGACTGTCTTTTGCCCGTAAGCCTTAATTCCTTTACTGATTAAAAATCTGTCTACCTCAGGCTTGATTATACATAATGACCCAGCCTTGACAGCCCTCGATGGTAAAGAATTCCACAAATTCACTACTGTCTGAGAGAAGAATCTTCTTCTCATTGCAGTTTTAAATGTGCAACCCCTTATTCTGAGATAAAGCCCTTGGTTTTAGATTCTCCTACAAGGAAAAACAACCTTGCTGCATTTACCCTGCCTTAAAAACTTGTAGGTTTCAATAAGGTCACTTCTCCTTCTTCTATAATCTAATGGGTACAGGCCCAATCGACTCAACATTTCCTCACATGACAGTCCCTCCATACCTGGTACCAGCAAGTGAACCATCTCTGGACTGCCTCCAAAGCCAGTATGTTTTCTTAGGTAAGGGGCCCAAAACTGTTTAGAGATCGCAAGAACCGCGATGCTGGAGTCAGAGACAATACAGTGTGGAGCTGGAGGAATGCAGCAGGTCAGACAGCATCAGAGGAGCAGGAAAGTCAATGTTTCAGGTTGGGACCCTTAATCAGGCCTGGGGAGGAGGATGGGAGCTGGGCAGTAAATAGAGGGAGGAGGGGTGGGGGTGGGGAAAATAGGTGGGATGGCGATGGGTAGATGCAGGTAGGTGTAATGGGGATTGGTCAGTGGGAAGGGTGGGGAAGAAGATGGACAGGTGGTGTCAAGTCAAGGAGGCAGGGATGAGAGGGAGGGTCGAACTTGGGATGAGGCCAGGAATGGGGACATTTTGAAACTGGTGAATGTCATGTTAAGGCCATCAGACTGTAGGCTCCCAAAGTGGAAATATGAGGTGTTGCTCCTCCAGTTTGCGTGTGACATCATTGTGGCACTGGAGGAGGCCCAGGATGGACATGTCACCCAAGGAGTGGGAGGGGGAGTTAAAATGGTTGGCAACTGGAAGATTATAGTGTACAGAGTGCAGATGTCCTGCAAATCTTGACGACATCTCCTGTCACCCACTCTCCTGCAAGAATGCAATCCCCTACTCCCAAATCCTCTGCCTCCGCTGCATCTGCTCCCAAGATGGAGCGTTCCACTCCCGGAGATCCCAGATGTTGTCCTACTTCAATGACCGCAACTTAACGCCTCCGTTGATCAAAAATGCCTTCAACCGCATCTCTTGCATTTCCCTCACTTCTGCCCTCACATCTCCTCCCCCCAACACAAATAAAGACAGAATCCCTCTCGTCCTCACATATCACCCCCCAACCTCTACATCCAACATATCATCCTCTGCCACTTCCGCCATTTACAATCTGACCCAACAACCAAAGAGATATTTCCCTCCCCACCTCTATCTGCCTTTCATACAGACCACTCACTCTGCAACTCCTGTGTCCGCTCCATGCTCCCCACCAACCCCACCACCCCTGGCACCTTTCCCTGCAACCACAGGAGGTGCTACATCTGCCCCTACACCTCCCCCTCTCATCCCCACCCAAGGCCCAAAGCAAACTTTCCATATCCGACAGGGGTTCACCTGTACATCCTCCAACGTGGTATACTGTATCCATCACTCCCGATGTGGCCTCTTCTACATCGGTGAGACCAAGCATAGACTCAGTGACCAATTCGCGGAGCATCTGCGCTTTGTATGCTATAATCAACAACACCTTCTGGTTGCTAACCATTTTAATGTCCCCTCCCATTCCCTGGGTGACATGTCCATCCTGGGCCTCCTCCATTGTTACAATGATGCCACCCGGAAACTGGAGGAGCAGCGCCTCATATTCTGCCTTGGGAGCCTACAACCCAATGGTCTCAATATGGACTTTACTAGTTTCAAAATCTCCCCACCCCCGACCTCATCCCATGTCCAACCCTCCCTCTCATTCCCACCTCCTTGACCTGACACAATCTGTCCATCTTCTTTCCCACCTATCCACCCCACCCATCCTATTGACCAATCCCCACCATTCCCTACCTGCACTTACCTATAACCATCCCACCGACCTTCCCCAGGCCCACCCCTCCTTTCTCTATTTATTTCTAAGTTCCCTTCCCCCTCCCCAGTCCTGACAAAGTGTCCCTACCCGAAACGTCGACTTTCCTGCTCCTCTGATGCTGCTTGACCTGCTGTGTTCCTCCAGCTCCACACTGTATTGGCCCAAAACTGTTGGCAGTATTCCAGCTATGGTCTGACTAATGCCTTGTACAGTTTTAGCAAAACATCCTACTTTTACACTCCATTCCCTTTGAAATAAAGTTGGTGGAAGCAGGGTCAATGAAGCAGATGTTCTTTGTCCTGGATGGCAGGGATGATTTCTGGAGATAAAGAGACTGAGTTAATATCTCAAGTGGATGACCATTCACAAGCCCTGATGGAAGATCATCAACTTGAAATGTTAATCCTGTTTCTTCCTCCTCAGCTCCTGTGTAACTGATGGGACAGTTCTGACATCATTTGCTGTTGATTTTGGAGATTCAAACAATTATGTTCAACTCAGATCCGGGAGAGGGGTCTTGCAGCACGAACGGTACATCTTTGTGCACTACGGGGGACGTAAATGCGGTCATGATGCATCTGTCTCTTACCTTGCTGAACAAAGGAGCCATAGACAAACCACATGGAGTTGTACAGGGTGGTGGAGGTTACGGAGCCCATTTGCAGCCTGGGAGGGTTCAGCCAATTCAGGAGGTAGACCAGCAAGCCCACCAGGATCACTGTGCCAGTGATGCAAGCCCACAGCGAGAAGTCAAATGGAGCCAGGCAAGCGAACATGTCGACAGTCCTCTCCGCCTTCTTCAGCAGGAATCCCACTGAGTAGTCCATGTAACGGGTAGTGAAGTCCACAACACTCTCTCGTTCTGGTGTGATGGTCAAAGCCGAGATTCCCACGTCTGCTCTCTGGAAATTTGTTTCAAAAGGGAAAGAAAGTCAATCACGATTCGTGATAAGACTAACAGAGACCAGCAGCCCTTCTCTTTTCTTCCCTCTGCCTGCTAACAAATGACAGCGAGCAACCTGCATTTACATTGTGCCTTTCACATTGTGCAGAGTCTCAAGATGCTCCACAATTGCCTTATCAAACAAAAATTGACACCAGCGTGAAGAAGGAGACGTTAGGGCACATGACCTAAAGCTTAGCCAATGAAGCAGACATTAAGGAATATCTTAAAGGTTGTTCTCCAGAAAGATATGGAGGTGCCGGTGTTGGACTGGGGTGGACAAGGTCAGAAATCACATGACACCAGGTTATAGTCCAGCAGGTTTATTTGAAAACACAAGCTTTTGGAGCATAAACCTGACAAAGGGGCTATGCTCTGAAATGTTATGTTTTCAAATAAACCTGCTGGACTATAATCTGGTGTCGTGTGATCACTGACCTTATCCAGAAAGAAACAGAGAAAAGAAGATGTTTAGGAGGGAAATTCTGAAGGCATAGATATCGGTGGTGAAGCTAAGGATTCAGAATACACAAAGCCTGAGCTGGAGGAAAATTGAGATCACAATGTTACAGGGATAGGGAAGAATGATGCTACAGAGGCATTTGAACACAGCATTGTAAATTTCAAAATTGAGACGGTAGGGTATTCTAATCACTCAATTCCTGAACAGACTTCCCCGAATCACATTGACCTGAGCACAAAACAACATCAATTTAAATAAACATTTAATGATCAGCACTTTAGTTCGTGATTGAAACAGCTTCATTTATTATTCCTAGATGTTTCTTGAATGAATCAAATTGACTGCTTTCGAACAATCTATTCATTTAAATGCATTATTTACTTTTTCCAACAAAGTTAACCACACAAAAATTGTTTCAGCAGGGTAATAAAGTGACTAATAATGCAATTCAAATTAACGTGGAAATGAACTGAGAGAACCAAGTGATGGAAGTACATTATAATTGCGAACATGTATATAGCTCATATTGCATATAATACATATGCAATGCATTAAAAGTAGGATTTTTTTTCAATTTTTTACATGGATATTTTGCATTTATTTTATATAAGTGAACACAAATGTTCACGTCTACTGATATGAACTATAATGGGCCCAAGTTCCTGATTCTTCGATTAGAATTGATCAGATGGGTGTATTGGTCCAAATTAGGTGTCTGGTCTGCTGTTGCTTTCCAGATCATGTTTACTGTATTCTAAGTTTTTATTCAGTTGAGAAGCAGTAGGAGGAACATCGTCCCAGCTCTTCCCTCTGCATTGGTCTATACTTTTTCATGATGAAACACTGAGTGGCCCTGGTAGATTTTCAGAAAAAGTGCCCCAAGGAGCCAGTGCACATTTAACTCAATACCGAAGGAGACACACTGAGACTGTCAATTTTGCCGCAGTACTTCTGAACCCTCCTGTATTGCATGATAAGATGTATCAAATTTGGGGGAATACCTCATGAAAAATGTTCAGAAGTTGAATACCCCTGAAATCATAAAAAGGGTATGATGCAGAAGCTGGCCATTTGGTCCATCATGTTTTTGCTCCCAGCCAGATCCTGTCACCCTGCATTCTGAAGAGGGGTCACTGGACTCGAAATGTTAACTGTTTCTTTCTCTAGAGATATTACCAGACCTGCTGAGTTTCTCCAATACTTTCTGTTTTTGTTTATCATCTAATATGGTCTGAAAGGGTAATGGAGACCTATGAAACAAGGGAACAGTTACTAGTGGTGTACCTCAAGGATCTGTTTTGGGGCCACTGCTGTTTGTCATTTTTATAAATGACCTGGATGAGGGCGTAGAAGGATGGGTTAGTAAATTTGCAGATGACACCAAAGTTGGTGGAGTTGTGGATAGTGCGGAAGGATGTTGCAGGTTACAGAGGGACATAGATAAGCTGCAGAGCTGGGCTGAGAGGTGGCAAATGGAGTTTAATGCGGAAAAGTGTGAGGTGATTCACTTTGGAAGGAATAACAGGAATACAGAGTACTGGGCTAATGGTAAGATTCTTGGTAGTGTGGATGAGCAGAAAGATCTCGGTGTCCACGTGCATAGATCACTGAAAGTTGCCACCCATGTTGATAGCGTTGTTAAGAAGGCATACAGTATGTTAGGTTTTATTGGTAGAGGGATTGAGTTTTGGAGCCATGAGGTCATGTTGCAGCTGTACAAAACTCTGGTGCGGCCG